CAGAAGTAAATTCATGGATTGATGATTCTTGGAAGGGTCTGGTTTCATGATTCAAAGTAGATCGGCCTGCGATGAGGAGACATGACTTGCAAAGGCATCGACAGTCCATCATTGATCCTGACTGCCTCCAAAATTCTACCACCTAGGCATTACTCAAAGAGTCTTGTCGCATATGGATATTCTTTTATTTGGGAACTGGGCCATGTCAAAATAAAGCGTGCTTGGCAAGTACACTCTACCTGGAGCGTGCTTGACAGGTATGCACTGTCTGCAGCGTACCTGGAAGGTACGCTCTAACTGGAGCGTACTTGGCCATGTATGCTCTGCCTGGTGCGTACCTGACAGGCACGCTTTAACTGGAGCGTGCTTGCCAAGGCATGCTCTAGTTATTGCGTACATCCAAGCACGCTCCAGTTAGAGCGTACAATGTACGCAGTTGGATTTGTAGAGTAGGGTTGGTCGAATCGATTACGATTTAAATCGAAAATCGATTCAGGTGGTCGATTTTCGATCCAAATCGTAATCGATTTGACGTGTCGATTTAATCGAAAAAATCGATTTAGGCGATCGATTTTCGATTTACCTTAAATTTGCGCTATTTTCGCTCATTTGGCGCTCTCAGAGAACTGAAACTGCGGTGATTTTGGTGAAATTGAAGACTTTACCACCTAGTTAAAGATGAAATCATTCAAAAACAAGGCCGTACAAGCAATCGTGCTTCTGTGCGTGAGGAGAACATTGCAGATCACGTCAAATCCTGGCCGGCCTGTATTTAATACTAATAGTAATAGGGAGGACCCGCACGTTTAGAAAGGCGCCAACAAATGAAAACCCCATTTCTACGCATTTCAGAGGCACGATAGTAAATGTACCGAGATAGCTGTTCTGACCCCAATTAAACACTCTGTTCACTCCAGGAATATATAATTTCAAATAAAGGATTTGTATGGCTTCCTAAGGCATCATACACCATGTAAAGTTGCAAAGAAGTCGACAAGGGCATACTTTTACTTTCTTTACCGTCCTATACATTCAGACCAGGATTGTGAAGAGTGACTCGCACAAGCAGAGCATCTAATCTGAGCCGCAGGCATTTAAAAACGTAATTTACTGAGAAAGGCAGAATCGAAAATCGAAAGTTGAAAAATCGATTCATCACGTTCAAAAATCGATTTTTGGAAAAATCGATTATCTTGTTACGATTCGTGGATAGGGCCCGTGCACCGCTGGAGGAAGAACAAAAACTCCTGGTGGGCATTTCCGCGCGAGCCTTCAAACTGGGACCCAGCTGGGGGTGCCTGTTTGTTGTATTTTTTTTTTACCGGTTTTAAACAAAGTGGCTAAGGATCGCGGCAGGTTGCGGTGTCGGTTCACGATAATTGGAGAAGGAAACTCTAGTCGATTACGCCGAACCTTAAGCAAAATAAGTGAACTTGTCAAGATAGTGCAGGTTAGGTTGACTAAGATGTCTGCTAGGTCGACGCCATGTTAACTCCGCGCACGTCGCTGCTGGTGGGCAAACGAAACAGCCTTTTTCTGCTTTTCCCGATACGAGTATGCCACAAAAGCTCTCAACACGAGTCGGAAATTTTTATTTAATTTAATTTCGACAATGTAAAAGGTTGGATGAATTCCAGTCACTTCTCAAAACGCGAAAACGCAAGAACCAAATTTGAACTTCGCGCTGCTTTCCCACCAGCACGGAAGGGAACGTTATGCGTCGTTTAACAGCACCGTTTCGAGATCCTCGACCTGCACGGGCCCTATCGACGAATCGAAAATCGATTCGAGTGGCGAAAATGACAACCCTACCTCAAACGTTCAAACTTGGCGAAATTTAGGACACTCTTATTCCAGGAACGTGACATCACGTTGAAACGAACGTAACAAAATGGCACGTTCGTTTGAGCATTGTGTCACTAGGGTGTTTCACTTTTGCATAAAATTTCGAAATCTCATGATTGCCGGGTGAAAATTGATATCTTATCCAAAAAAAAAGGAACACGTGTTTCGGGGTTTTCCAAATTTCGCAAAATTAGAGGTCGCTCAACGCCCTTGAAAAATTTGTTTAAACTTAGATCCGAAATGCTGAAATCGTCAATTATTGACCGATTTGGACAATTCTGGTCTCATTTGAAAGGTATTGAGCTGCACATTAAGAATTTACTGCCAGAAATTCGATTGTAGTCGTTTGCTGGGCTACAGAGCCGCGTTTGTGTTTTTCAAGGCTCTGATTGCAACTTTGTGAGACTGTATCTTCGGCAGTTACAGACCGATTCTTCCCCGCGATAACTCAAAATGACCGTCAGAGTCTCCTCTTTCCAGCGGTGTGCTCGGATTGTAATTTGAAGCATTTGCCTAGTCTCTATGAGGCTCAAAGTACAGATATGCAACAAATTTTCTTGTTTACCGTACACTTCTTTTAAGGTTTGCACGGCATGCGTTTCGATATGCACGAATTTTTGCGCGCAACAACGCACACTTTCGGGCCCTTAGTTTGGCTTATAGTTACGCACAGATTCGTGCATTTCAAAACGCATGCTCAAGTTTGTGCGAAAGCTTATGCACCAAAAAGCGCCAAAAAGTACATTATAATTTACTGTATCGGAAATGCCCACAGCCAATGCAAGGGTAGGACAGTCCTAAAGTCTTTGTCTTCAGCGACGTTTTTCCCACGCTTGCGAGTGTGAGGTACGGTTCGCACCACCCTTATTGCTTCCTATCGGAGTCTCACACTGGCAAACGCGGTTCACAATTTGCGAAGTGAGGGACACTTCAATTCACGGCAAATAGAGTGAGACTGTCCCACACGTTGATTGGCAGTGCTACTTTCCACCACTGAAAATCTGTCGGCGTGGGTTCGGGCCGTTTTACGGCCGTGAATAAAGTGTCACGCCAATTCATGGCATGACAGAATACCCACACTCGGCGTGACTCAAAAAATTTTGGTGTGAATTTCTCGTTACACTGTAAATCCAAAGGCAATACTTAGAGTACCTTTTTTGGCGATACAATTGAGTATCGCCAATAAACGGCCTTACGGAAAAGTTTTGCCTTCAAAACGGCGATCCACAAAAGTATCGCCAAAATTTGGCTATACTTTGAAGTATTGCCACGATTTGGCAGTAAACGTCGAACAAATCAAGGGGACAAGACCTTGGTTTAAAGCCGTGGTTTTGGCAATATCCAAAAGTATTGCCAAATTTTGGCGATACTTTTTTGTATGGCCGTAATACTTTGCCGCAAGGCCGTTTATTGGGGATACTCAATTGTATCGCCAAAAAATGTACTTTAGTATCGCCTTTGCATTTGCAGTGTATGCCGGTTTTTGGCATGACGTTTCTCATAAAATGCATTGCCGTCATACACGCCGAAGGACGGCGTGACTCACATTTCATGCCCTTTTTCGGCGCGACTCTTTGTCACGCCATAATTCGGCCACGTGCCCGACCATTACGTTTTCAGTGACATTGCTAAAGGGGCCAACGAAAACAAAATCCCAAATAAATTAATATGATCAATTGTATTATATTGTCCACCTGAAAAACATTTTTCTCTGATCCACAGCCGTCTACCACAGCCTCCACTTTGATGGAAACAAATTCATCACTTGTTTGGCGGAGCTCGGACTCTCAGGTATCAAGCGTATAGAAGAAGAAATCACCGCCGACTGCGCTCCGATGGACAACTACGTGAGATACGAGATCTGCGTTGCATGGAAGGTGGCCACGCTTGCACCAGACTTCCTCAAATGTGTCGCGAGTCCCTGAAGATCCCAGGTTACGATTTCATGCATTGGTTGGAAACCTTTTTTCAAATTTCATCTGTTGTAACCCTTTCAGGCATGATACTGTTTCTGTAATACTGTTCGACCAATAAATCGTCACAAAAAAGTTGGTCGTGAAATAAATTTAGGACACACTCTGCAAATCGAAACCCTACACTCGTTTTAATTTTGTCATAATGTCAGAAACATTGTCTGAAATCATTATCAAAGTACGCGCACATCTGATAAAGATTGCGTCTGAAATTCTAAGAGTGCGGCCAAGACTTTGCGAGGATAGAAGGGTACATACACCGCACCCATCGCGAGATAGCCGCATCATAGCAACCCCTGTTTTGGTCCCTAGAGGTCAAAAAATGCTTTTCAGTACTCAGACCCAAGCTTCGAGCCTCCCACGAGATGGAAGATGACCCAGGCATTATGGGATCTCCTTACAAATGTAACTGCGAAGAAAACCGTAGGCCGTTAAGTTATGAGATTTTCGACCCACTCTTATACAGACTGCCGGCCAAAACCTGGTCTACCTAAAGCCGCAAATAATGCCCCAATTGGACAATGCATTTTCGAATGAGTGGAGAAAATATGAAAATGGAACTTTGTTTTTGGTTGCCAGCCCTACGCAAACGTAGCAGCCGCCAAAAAGCACATTGCAAAGTCAACAACAGCCTACAATGAGGCTCATGCTCTACAAACGTTTTTTCCAAATAAATACAATTACAAAACTGCAAAAAGAGCATGTTAGGTATCATTGAAAAGGGACTAAGCTCTGCAATCGTACCAATAAGTGGCTATTTTGTGTCTTTTTACACCAATGTTGCCTTAGTAACATCACGCTTGCGCTGCCCACTGACACTACGGCAAAAAAAACTATACTGAAAAATCAGTTGACTTCTGACACATTTGCCGTAGCGTCTTACCGAACTTCTCCGTAGGACTATGCTCCGCATGCCCCTTGCAGATGAATGAGGTGCACTTCCTCAAGGAGGATAGACAAGAGGGCTACGGAAAATGTTGGGTTCTGAGTATAACTGTTAGAATAGCTTAGGTCATTCCGCGGCCGTATCTCATTTTTCATTTGGTAACTCCTTTGAAGTTTTCTGGTTTGGACTTAATTGAATTCGAAGGTGCAATTGATGTGCTCTGTTTGACCTGTTTACCATAGAGGTACAAATGCAGAAGTTCCACGAAAATTCTAGCAAGGGGGGTTGGGTGGCTTCCCTCCCTGATGTTTTTTTCTTTCAAATGTGGAGCTGGCATTTTGTCAGGTCATGCACTGAAAATTGAATGGTCGGACACATGGTTATGGCGTGACAGTCACGCCAAAAATTGGCGTGACAGAAAATTCTCGCCGAAAAAGGGCATGACGTGTGCGTCACGCCGTCATCTGGCGTGAATGTTCCATGTGGATTGGTGCGTACAATGCGTTTTATGAGAAAAGACATGCCAAAAATTGGCGGAGGAAATTCACGCCAAAAATTGGCGTGAATTTCTGAGTCACGCCGATTTTTGGCATGACTTTTCTGTCATGCCGTTTTTTGGCGTGACACTTCATTCACGCCCCTGCAGCGGCACGAAGTCACGCCGATAGATTTCCAGTGTGTTCGTGCCGTGAAAAGTCGTGCACATACACTGAGAAGGCTTCAACAATCCACGGAGCGTATAAAAGTCTACCTGCGGCCCGAAACTAACAACAACATGCGGTTCGCTGTTCTTGCTTTGGTCGTTGCGGCGCTGATCGCTCTTGTCGTAAGTACCTATTACTATGCAGAGGGTCTACCACTTAAGTTATGCACAGTTGAGTGTGAGTGATGTGAGTTTTCAAGTGGATTCGGCCATTCTATATTTGCCTACATTCAGCCGTTTTCCTGTTAAACAACTAAGGGAGAGGGTTAGTGTTGGCTGAGTGCGTCGTACAACAGGAGCACGAGGTGGCAAAGGCCACGACAATGCATTGGGAAAGTCTCTCCGAAAAAAGATGGAAACTGAACGGAGTCTCCATGAACTCTGCAAACTGAAGTGTGTAAGGGTACACTCTTATTAGAGCATGCTTCCAAGCACACTCTTATTTACAGCATACTTGCTAGGCACACGCTAAAATAGAGTGTACATGGCATGTACATGCTAAACAAGAGTGTGCCTGGCAAGTACACTTTAACTGGCCCATGCTTTTAGATAGGACTAATCCAGTGTATTTTAGCGTGTACTTGCAAGGTACACCCTTATTTAGCGTGTACATGCCAGGCACACTCTACTTAAGGGTGTATTTGACGTATTTGATGTAACATGTACAAACACTCCAAATCTAAAGGCGGTAATATTTCCACCCTTTACTGGCGGTAATTTTGTATTGGCGGTGTCCACGTTTTACCGCCAATACGAAGGCGGTACAGAAATTACCGTCCTAACAGAACCGTTTGCACCTCCTTACGAGAGCTTTACCGCCTTTTTCTTGGCTCTCTGAAGGAACGTTACTGGCGGTAATATTTTGTACCTCCTTTAACGCACCATCTAAACGGCGCGCAATGGGCGGTAATTAACTCTACTGCCGTTTTCCTTCGGTTTGTAGGGTGCGTAATTGGCGGGCTCCAGATTTTACCGCCAATACGAAAGCGGTGCACGTTTTACCTTCTTCACCGTACCGTGTGTACCGCCCATAGATTTGTAGTGAAGGATCCCTTGTGAACTGGTACGGAAAACATGTACAGAACTTCCGTGGATGGCAAGGTACGGACGGTCCTGGTAAAAAATTGACCAGACACGTTCCGTACTACGTTTTCCGTACTTTTTTCTACCAGTGTATGTTGTCCGGGAACGGTACGAAAAGATCTTTTGCATAGTATCCCTCAATGTGACCCAATTACTGCTCAGCTGATTGACTCTCTATTCCATGTTGCAGGCAGCGGCACCGGCTCACGATGTAGCGAGGCGATCACCCCTTCTCGGCTGCATCTCCAAATGTTTCGGCGGTTCCAAGAGCAGCGGCAAGGTGAAGCCTATCCGGACGGGCAATCGGGGAGCGTACCCCGGCCAAAGTTAAACCGTGGGGCCACATTTAAGGGCGAGTCCGCCTGGAGGTCATGTGAAAGATAAGGCTGTTATCAATCAAATGAAATAAAATTCTGTGGCGAAAGCTGCGTCTTCGAGTAAAAAGAATCTTATGAAGTAGCACTTAAACTTCCACCCAAGGCACGTTGGTTGTCTGTAGTCTTTTGCTCTGCTCATTTTTCTCAGGAACAGGAGTCACCCAGTCACTCCGCAAATTGAACTACTGGGCCGAGTGACTCACTGGGATCCCACGAATAGTCGACGCACAATCGCCCGTCCGCAGCGACGACAGATATTTGAGAATAAAACGTGTGTTTACAGCTCTCTAGGAGAGCACTCCAAGATAGGAGCCAATCTTCCGCTTTCATGATCTGGTATTTCCTGAACTTGTGACGAAGGGATCAATGTCTTTTAACACACCAACAGGACTGGAACTTGGACCCTTGGGCCCAAAAAGGTTTTGTTAACATCTGCAGCCTTCGTAAACTTATAAAAGTTTCAAAACTTAAGATTTTAGAACGAAGACCATACACGACAAATGACTTTCCTTGCGCGGGTCATACCACGTCAAATGGAGGAGACAGACTTTGATACAACGCCTTGGGCCACAACGTCTTGGTGTCCGTTTCGCAGAACGATACGAGCCTGCGGCTTTCGAGAAAATGGAACTCAGCATTGCTTCCACGAACACCGTTCGGAGTCACTATTTGGGGAATCCTAGGATTCAAGAAAGTGGTATGTGAGGGCTTTGATACCAAATAGAATCGAATCAGGTCAGTCTTGGAAACGAAACGAAAAGAGAAAGTTTACGAATCGCATTTTTTAGACCTAAACAGCACAAGGGATTTTTTCTCTCCCCTTCTTAAGACATAAACGTACCCGAGACCATGGTTTATTGACGGATTGATTCCTAGCTATTACAATGGGCCTAACACGTGCTCGCCCCCGGTCACTCCCTACAAGCGCTTGGCTCACCTAGTCCGAATCCTGGCTGGGCTGCGACTGCCCGTCCGCGGCCGCGTCGCTCCAGACCTCGGCCCTTCGCGACGCGCCCGGCGGGTGATTTGGCTGACACAAGGGATATGGGTCGCGGTGGCGGCGGATGCAGCAGCCGCGCCCTTGAATGATTCGAACCTGCGCGGGGTGGCGCAACACTAGACGTGACGTCGACATAGAAATAGAAGCGACTGCAAATTGAAACAGACGGCTGTGGGCGTTTTTGTTGCAAAATTACCAAATTATTTTGTGTCTAATGTGGAAACGTTTTAATACGTCACCAAATGGCGTTTGTCTCCAGTACTCAAACCACAATCTTTCCAAGAAAGGTCGAAGCGGGAGACTCAAAAATCATCAAAATGCGTTTAAACGTCGCTGCAGCCCGATCAAGAGAGACGTTAACGGTACAGTATTCTCCCGCAATAGGTCGACGGCTCGGGACCGGATCTCGGACTATAACGAACACGAAAACCGAACAGCACATGGTGCGAAGGCCAGGCTCCAGCAGTGCTCCGAGCTCGGGGAGGCCATGAAACAATTAGCCGGCCCTTGGGTCCTACACTGGAGTGGCCCGAAACGCAGTGCCGACTGGCGCCTTGCGGGTCCACGCTACCTGGCCAGGTCGGCACTGCCGTTCGGGGTCCCGTCAGCGCCCGGGTTCGCGCGTTTTCGACCTGGCGGCACGGAGGACCCCTGTCAATCATCCCCGAGGGTCGAGCTCGCCGGGCCATAAACCCCCGTGCGTAAGCGGGGGCCGTCACATGAAAACGACTTATTGCGAATCGACCTAATGCGGGAGAATACTGTACCGCCAACACATTAACTGAATTCTTGGGAATAAAGAATGGAAACTATCGAGTTCTCGCAGGATCGGAGGACCCCGCTTGTTTGAGCAAGCTCCCAGGCAATTCAGTTAAGCACCAAAACGCTAAAAAATGAGCGTTCAAATCAAATAGTATTTTACAGCATGTTAATACCATTCCACTCGGCACATTGGGCACATTCGATTCGATTAATTTGAAATTGAATACAAAGTGAGTTGGGTCTCTTGTCATCGATACGTGATCAGTTAAAGTCAGTCGGTCCGTGAGTTCACTACCAAAACACTAGCAAATGAGACTTCTGATGACTAGCTAGCACCGCACATGAGGGTGGGTCGAAAATCCCAGAATAAAACGGCGTATGGTTTTGTTTGCAGTTGACCATATTAGAAAAGAGATCCCACAATGCTGGGGTCTGGTGACGTCACCTTCCATCTCTTTGGAGGCTCCAAACTTGGGTCTAATAGTGAAAAATGGCACTTTTGGCCCTACAGGGACCAAACCAGGCATCGCCCAGGATGCGGCTATCTCGCGATGGGTGCGGAATATGTCAAGAACCTATAAAGCCCCAATCCGACTGACTCACTGACTCACTCACTCACTCACTCACTCACTCATAGAAATGTTTGGGGTGAAGGAGTGGTCGTAGAGACTTGCGGTTTTTTCCATTCAATTCCAAATTTTATGGGAAAATTGGGAAAAATCCCAAAAGTTGAAAATTCCTCACCGTTTCCGAGAAAACATACTTTATCTACAAAAAAGGGGAACAAATTTCTCACCGTTTCCGAGCAAACCTACTCAATCTTCAAAAAAGGGGACCGACCGACTAAAAATTTTATTCGCCCCATCGGTAGGTCTGGTCGAGACATTTCCGAAACTGTGCCGCAATCGGGTCCCCGTCACCGGCAACATCCTCAAAAACGATTAAATAGGCCTAAATTCAACAAAATCCACTCAATCTTCAAAAAAATGGACCGACCGACTAAAAATTTTTATTCGCCCCATCGGTAGGTCTGGTCGAGACATTTCCGAAACTGTGCCGCAATCGGGTCCCCGTCACCGGCAACATCCTCAAAAACGATTAAATAGGCCTAAATTCAACAAAATCCACTCAATCTTCAAAAAAGGGGACCGACCGACTAAAAATTTTTATTCGCCCCATCGGTAGGTCTGGTCGAGACATTTCCGAAACTGTGCCGCAATCGGGTCCCCGTCACCGGCAACATCCTCAAAAACGATTAAATAGGCCTAAATTCAACAAAATCCACTCAATCTTCAAAAAAGGGGACCGACCGACTAAAAATTTTTATTCGCCCCATCGGTAGGTCTGGTCGAGACATTTCCGAAACTGTGCCGCAATCGGGTCTCCGTCAGTGGCAACATCCTCAAAAACGATTAAATAGGCCTAAATTCAACAAAATCCACTCAATCTTCAAAAAAATGGACCGACCGACTAAAAATTTTTATTCGCCCCATCGGTAGTTCTGGTCGTGACATTTCCGAAACTGTGCCGCAATCGGGTTCCCGTCACCGGCAACATCCTCAAAACGATGAAATGGGCCTAAATTTAACAAAATACAACCGTTTCCGAGCAGTAAAAGCCATGTAATATATTGCGTCTTAAACCTGGCCGGAGAAATCTGTAGAAATCAGAAATGAAAGATGCAAAAGAGGCCCATTAGTTTGGCCTTTGGTCACATTGACCATAATCAACACAGATCTTATTCTTGTCAAAGCAGTCTTCAATATTTTCCGGACCTTGAATGCCGTTGACTGCCACAGTAGCCAATACAATACAAGCTATCTATTTGGGCAGTAATAGTACCTTAAAAATGAATGGTCAAAAGCAGTTAAATAGACCCTTCCAAAAAGCAGTACAGTTACTTCATTAGAAAATTTTCCTTTGGTCACCACGGACTTACTAAAAAGTTTCGCCAGACGCGTCTGTCGTAACATTCGGATGTCTCGTGCCTTTCCCAAACCGCGCCTGGGTATACCTTGCCCGGGCGTATGCTCGGCGCAAATGGTTGCCACGGGCTACTTGTAACTACATGCAGCGGTGCCCCCAGACCCACTAAAAACTAGATCCTTGTAACTTTTCACTTGTCGGGGTACCCCAATTTCTTCAACAAGTGATCTGTCTGCAGAAAATCAGATTTTTGGTTTTTTGGGGTTTCGGCAAAAACTGAAGTTGGGTAGGATAGTGAAATTTCGCTTGCAGAGCCAAGGACATGCCCTAAAGTTGCAAAACTCAGAGATGGCCGAGCGTTCAGGAGATAGTGCGGACACAAGACAGACAAACAAGTTTCAGACAGACAAAAAAACTTTTCAACCCCAATTTTGGATAACAGTTTATGCTCAGCCAAAAATCTTTCGGCCCCATACATCGGGTTGGGGGACAGCACAGCGCGAGTTCCATATCCCTTTGCAAAGTCTGGGCGATGTGCTCAAAATCTTGTTAAGCGCACTTGTTTTGCTAAAACAAAGTTGCAGACCAAAAATTGGCTTAATCTATTGTTTGCTCAAGGTCACCCTAAGTATATAAAAGAAACCAAAAAGCAGCTTTGTTATATTTTTGATCGCGTTTTGCCAGGGCGAAACTTTACCATTTCAGCCCAAACCCAAAAACACTAAAAAGTGATTTTAAGTTGTATTACCTTGGTCCATTGATATACGTTTTAAGATCTAAAGAAAATGCATTGGTTAAAAGTTTTGTGTTTGGGCAACTCGAATTTGCAAATAATACAAGCAAACGAAGCAAAACCCGTTAGGCAAGAGATGGCCCGACGAATTTTCACTTTTGGCGATGCCTAGTTTTGGTCCATGTACCCAAAAGTGCCAAAATTTTTTTATTTTTTAGACTTTGAACTTTGGGGTCCCAAATGGATGCAAGGTACATACCAAAAACCCACATTGTTTGTGATTTTTCTTTTCTAAATGGTAAACCCCGGGAAAAAATTCCATACAAAGTTAATTCCCAGGGATTTTTTTTACCTTTCCTTTACAAAATAAGGGTGGGAAACGCCAGGACCCTAAAAAAACTGGCAAAAGCGTTAAACAAGGTCCTTGAGATTCCAAATGTTGAGACATCGGGACCGTGTTTGGGAATATTGAGACATTTACCCAAACCCAAAGCAGATAGCCGCACCTGGGCGTGCCCGGTTTGGGCCCTTAAAAATGCCTTTCACCCTTTAAAAGTTGGAAACCTCCGAAATGGGGTGACGTCACGACCCCAGCATTTTCCTTCAACAGGGCCGCAAACCCCGCCGGCAATTCTGGGATTTCCCGGACCTACCGGGGGAAAAACCGGTCAAAAGCCAGGAGGGGCAGAAATTTGGAGCGTCCGACACGGTCACAGGGCTTTGGGATGGCACGTTGGGCAATCTTGAGACATCGGAAACTAAAGCCAATGGGGCCTAGGGCCAGGTGGCACCTTTCGTGGGAGGTTCCCTAAAATGCCGTCCCTTATAAAACGGGGAAGGCTCCGAAATGGGTCCGATCGGACGATCCGAAATTTTCCGGAGG